ACAGCTCCTGCGTTTACATGAACGTGTTTCTGTGTGTGCACACACTCGCTATTGGATGCAGGTGGCCCGTATGGAGACCTAAGGAAAACGCGCGGGAGAAGCCGCCCTTGGGCTGCACAAGCCCAGGGCGAACTCGCAGGGGCAGTTCAGCGGCGGGACTCCCCTCTGGGAGCCTCCGGCAGCCCGCACCAAACGGCAGACTTAGCTGCAGTGTCAGGGAAACAGGGCCCTGATTAACTCATAAAAAATGAAATGAAAATCCAATTCGTTCAATTCCATTCCCAGCCGCAGGCTGCGCTCGGGACGAGGGCGGGCGGAAGTGACGCAGCCGGGTGGAAGAAGCTGCCGTGGAGCAGGGCGGAAGTGCTGGCGAGAGCGGTGCGGTTCCGGTGCAGGTGAGCGGCGGCCGAGCTGCGGGAGCGGCGTCAGAGGCTGGCAGGATCTACTTCAGAGGCTTAAATGCTGCTTCTGGAAAACACTGGAAGAGTATTGCGGACCTGCATTTCTATATAAAGTAAACGCCGTTCTCTCTGACCCACTGGTGCTGCCTTAGTTGGTGATTGGGGTCGCTCCCTGTCCTCACTGACCTCCCTTCTCAGGCTCATGCTGGAGCTGAAATTGGTTCATTCAGAGGTGCATCTTGAGCCTTGAAGCAGTCCGTACCTTTATTGCCTTCTGTCCTTTCTTGTTTTCTTCCAGTCAGGCTTAGACCTCTGGTCCCAAGTGCGCTTGTGAAATTTCCTGCAGCACTGGTGGGCTTTTCAAACAGTATCCGTGGGAAGTCCAGAGCGTGACAGAAAGCTATTTATTGAGACTTTTGGTACAGACAGGGTGTGCAACAGCAAATGATAGCGTGTGCACATAACAGTCACTATGTTGTGGAGTGTAAAGGTCTGTGTGGTCCTTTGACAGTGCTTCTTATCCCTTGCATGTTTTCCTAGGGCAAAATCCTCGCTGGGTTGCACATGCTGGCTGGCTGGTGGTCCCTCTTGGCAAACAGATTGTGTATGGTGAGTTTTTAAGTAGCGAGTTGCTAGATGGGAGGTAACCAGAGTGCAGGATGCTGGAGGCAGTGCTGATCGTCAGGAGTTTGTTGTTTCTGCTGTGTGTTTTCTGTGAGCTCTGGTGGGTGAGAATTACTCCTTCCAACGGCCAGGGCAGTGTTGCTGATGTGCTTAGATGGCTTCCAGGGGGCATGGAAAAAGGTACCATTAGAACGCCAAGTATTTTTGCTCCATTCTGTCTGTCTGCAAGTCCCATGTGTATTTAAGCCCTGACTTTGAGGAAAGGTTTTCTGGAATAACATCCAACCTTGTTAGACATTGGCTGCTTAGTTGGCTTGTTGTGCCTGCCAGTTTCCCAGCGAAAGGAAGGCAGTTCTGAAGGCCTCCTGTATATTTTTAATTAACTTTTTCTAGTAGACAGAGACTTGGAGAAGTTTCTGTACAGTGCTGTGTGGAGGAGGCTTGCTGTAGAAAGATTAGCAACACACTTTGCTTCTAGCTGGGTGGTTTGTGTCTGTTAATCCTGGCATCCTCCTCTTTTGGGCTTTGAAGCCTGTGATGACAGGGCATGGAACACTTGGTGTTGGGTGTGTGTGGTGCTGCTTGTGCATGTCAAAGAGAGTCCAGGCAACTGACATGTGGCTGTGGGAGCCCCGTTGTGGCAGAAAGCTCCATAAATAACCAGCAAGTAGGTGTGGGCTTCTGCTCGGAGTATGCACAGAAAAAGGGAGCTGTCTGCAGAAGCTGCAATTTTTGCAGTGCAGTAAGGGAGGTGGGCTGAAAGGGAGTGTTTCTGCCTTCTCAGCATCAGTGAGAGCCGCAGTGAGATCCCAGGTGTTCTTGTGTGAAGTCCTTCTCTGAGAGTGGTAAGGCACTGTAGAAGGGTGCTCCTTGCCCTTCCTGCCCTGCAGTAGCTTTTGCAGGTGGCCACGTTGCATAAATGTCCTTGACCACACTGTTAGAGAAATTGGGCGTTTTCCCTGTGAGGTGGGGAATGGTTTTATTGTTGAGAGGGTTCAGGGAAGTTTCCCTTGTTGCTGCTTGTGCCCTGTGTGGGTTTGGTGTACACGGAAGCCGTCGTTCTGGGCCTCTTGAGCTGGCAGCTTCCATAAATGTCAGTGTTTTGAGATCTCTGAAATGGAGCAAATAGCTGGTGACGTTGGCATTGGCTGGAGTGATCTGTTTCCTCAGTCATGAAGTACTGAAGTGAATGGAGAGTCCCTGGAAACGTTGCAACCCCTGCAAATCCAGAGATTTTGTTGAGTCGGAGGTGGTTGGTGGTTTTACACTAATGCCTTGACTAAAAGCACCAACCAAATGTAAAACTTCCTGTCTGCCTTTGTTCTCTTAGAACCAGCAACATCACAGCTAAGCAACCTTGGTGAAGAGCGAGATCCCTGAAAAGAGTATAACAGTTGCAAGTGTAGCTCATAAATGCTGCAGGAAGGAATTCTTGTTTCTGTTAGCATCTGTCCCCCAAGGTAGCTCCCCATGTATTTTACAGTCCAGTTGGATATGAATAGCATAAGACCAGACATTGGCTTCAGGGCAGTGGCTGTGCCTGCCCAATGATTGCAGTTCGTTTTGGTCTGAGGTTAAGAGAGAGATTCACTTCCAAGCTTTGCACTTTCTCATGCATGCAGCCTGTCCATATGGCAGATAACTGTGCCTTTAAAAATCCATATCCACTTTCCTTTCCGTCTTCACAATAAGTCATCACTGAGTCCTGATGGGCTTTTGCAAGTGGAAGAGATCAAATA